CTACACAGAGAAACCCTGTCTCGAAAAAAGAAAAAAAAATGTAATTTTGAAAAGAAATTAGTTGATTGTCGAGAAGTGTTACATATGAGAAAAAGCTTTTGAGAAAATGATGTACCTTCAATACAATTCTAGAAATTATTAAGTATTATTGAGGAGAAAAGGATTAAGAAGGGAAGTCATAGCATTGCCTAGAAATGTGTCCGACATCGGACCCTGCATTAGGTACTGCCTTCCGAGGCCCAGCCAGATATCAGAAATATAGACACCAGCCAAAGGACCACCAAGACTAACTATCACAGTCAATTAACCAGGAGAACAACCTAAAGGAGCCAAAGGCCCCAGGATCAAGCATGGATGTAACCATCAGAGCTCTGCTGTTAGGTGACTGGGAATTCTATGCATTAAGTTTCCTAAGGCCACACTGTGTATAGCAGATATCAGGCCAATACAAATAGCTTCAATGCCAGTTTCAGGAAAAGGAATGTGTTTCCAGTTGCCTTATGAAATATATTTTCTTTTTTATTTTGTTTTATTTGTCATTTAAAAAGTTTTATGTGTTTGGGTGTTTTGCCTGCATGTGTGTCTGGGGACCGTGTGTGTGTGTGTGTGTGTGTGTGTGTGTGTGTGTGTGTGGCTTCAGAAGGCCAGGAGAGGGAGTTGGACCCATGGGACTGGAGTTATAAATGGATGTCAGCTATCACAGGTTCTGTGAATTGAACTCAGGTCCTCTAGAAGAGCATTGAGTACTCTTAACCACTGAGCCATCTTTCCAGACTCCATTGTTTTATTTTGAGTGTATGTATCACTCATGGCTATTTGCACATCTGCATGTGGCTATATTCACCCATATGTGTGCATGTGGAGGCCAAAGGTCATTGTCCAGTGTGTTTCTCTATCATTCTCCCCTGTTTCAGCTAGAGTGGCTGACCAGTAAGGCCCTAGGACTGCCTGTCTCCATCCTGTCCCGGAACTGAGTTACTGAGTAACTTCCTACACTCAGATTTTGATCTGTGATGGAGACCTGAACTAGGGTTCTTATGCTTGGCAGTCATCACTCTACTTACTGAACCAACTCAGCAGCCCAGATTCATTTCTTGAAATAAAAACAACATATTGTCTAGTATTATGAGATGTTCTTCATCCAAATATATGCCTTGAGCCTGTTTAAAATAGAAAAATGGAATATCAACTGTGTTACTTTTCATTACTGTGTCAAAATACTTAAGACAGTCAACATAAAAGGGAGAAAAGTTTATGTTTTACTCACAGTCTTTACCTGTTACCTGGGCCTGCTGCATGGAGCCTGTGGAGCATTGCATCATGGGAAGTGCTTGCTGGGTATGCAGGCCCTTTATAACCATAACTACTCACTTCATGGTATCTAGGAAGCAGAATGGAGGAGAGTAAAGCCTTGGCTTCCAACACCCTTTCCAAGGGCACACAGCTAAGTGACCCAGTGACCTAGCTAAGGTTCCACCATGCAATAGTGCCACACACTGAGTACCACCCCTTTAACACAAGGACCTCTAGGGGACCCGCAAGATCCAGACTGTCCTGTCCACCCTATTGTTAAGAGTCACATTTCATTCCAGACAGGAAAGGTTGACTCTAGGGGTCTAAGTGTTGCTATGAAAATAAATGCTGTTATTTAGTATTAAACATATTGTTGGGACTCTTCCTATTAGCCAATTAACTTGATTAGAATAAGTCAGATAATGTATTTCTTTTCATTAAATTCACATTACCCAGCAAATATCTTCAATGTTAACATTTTGTCCTTGGTAAAGAATGCCAATAAAGAATGGCATCGCCCATTTTCTTCAGTTTTTCATATTGCTTTCTCTCCCTCTCGTACCTATTCAACCAAGTACAAGCTGCTTGAGGTTAAAAAGAAAAAAAATATATATATATATAACCTTACTTTTATTGCCTTTAGTACCTGGCACAAGTCCATTGCATAAAATAGTCCCTAGGAGCTGGACAGTTCAATATAATTCTACAATTTAGAGGCATTGAAGCTGTGCCACACATTAGCCTGAGGGCCTGTTTAATTAGTTCCAGTGAGAAGGCTAGGAAGGACGTGGTGTCAATAAAATAGAATGCAGTAACTGACCTGCCATGCCACCCTGTGGTTCCTTTTCCCCCTCCCTCCACAGTCATGGTCCCAAGTCTCTTCCATGTTGACAGTCACAGTGGCAGACATCATGCCCTACTGCTCTTCTCCAACCAAAGGATTCAAGGTGGTAAAACTGTTGGTGGGGAGATAAAGAAGTGACCTTTTGAAAATAGTTAGCCCTGAGTCCCTCCCCTCTGTGGAAATCAAGGCAGGGGTAAAATCGTGAACATTTGAAGATGTGGGAGGCCTTAGAATTCTCTAGAATCTGGGTACCAAAAATAAGTGTCCTAGAAATGTAATCTTAGGTCCCAGCTGGTACTGAATGACCCAAAGCCTGCAGATAAACAAGATGCCCAAACCACCCTATACACAGTAAATTTTGTAATCAATCATATCCTGTGTTATATGTGATACCCAAACAGAACCTATCAGTGGCTCAATTTGCTATCAAAAACAATAACATCAAAATCCACAGTACACATTAGTAAAAGCAATGCTGTAGCATGAATCTTAAAGAGTTCTTATTAATAAAATCAAACCTGAGGCCAGTTATTGGGCTTAATGCTGGTAGATCAGAGAGACAGAACAAGCCACAGCTAACCCCACCTGGCCAACTTCTCAGCTGGTCTTCTTTCCTCAGACTGGAAGCTTCTGTGTCCTCATCCCAATGGCTCTCAGCTGAACTGCTGCTCGAAATTCTGAACGCTTAACCAGCCAAATGTTTAACCAGCCAAAATACCTCTAGTTTCTGGTCCTCACGCCTTATAAACCTTTCTGCTTTCTACCACCACTCCCTGGGATTAAAGGCTGCTTTCTGGGATTAAAGTCGTGAGTCACCATGCCTGGCTGTTTCCAATGCGGCTTTGAACTCACAGAGATCCAGAGGGATTTCTGTCTCTGGAATGCTAGGATTAAAGGCGTGTGCTAACATTTTCTAGCCTGAGTATCTTGTGGCTTTTCTGTTCTCTGACCCCAGATAAGTTTATTAAGGTACACAATATTTTGGGGAACACAATACCACCACATTTCCTCTCTTTTTGTCTAAAATTAAAAAAGGCTTATAACTAATACAAGAAAAACTATCCAATAAGCATATACAATAATCAGCCAAAAATTACATTAATGATGTCTAGTCCATTAACATTTGACAGATTCAGATAAAAACTCCATTATATATATTAACAATGTCCAGTCCAGTAACATCTGATAAAATCAGACCAAAATTTTTTCATTACTTATCTTATTTAAAACAAGTAGCTCCTTTTTAAAAGTAGATTCTATAATCTCCCTTTTTATCTTATCATAACCATATTCTCTCTTTTTTCTTTTCATAATGGATTCAGTATCGACCTTTTGTCATTTTTATATCTTCCCCCTTTTCTTTTCAGTGTAGATTCAGTGATCTACCTATTTATCCTATTATTTCTTTATCTTTTTTCTCAGAGTAGATTCGATGATCTATCTCATATCTATATTCTCTTTTTCTTTTTGCTTTCTAGGGGTGAAGATATCTTTAGGAAATCTTGAAAAGAAAATTTTTGGGTTAATTATCAAGTCCTGTATCAAGTCCAGTCTCTGCATAAAAGGAAAGTTCAGGGCTTGTCATAAGTTTTTGTTCGAGTAGTCTGTCAAGCTGGATCATCTCAGCTAGTCACCTCGAAATTGTCCTGACCAGTTTGTAGTCCAAAGTTGATTTTTCCATGGTGTTAATCGGCTTCATGGCTTTACCATAGTCTGTGTAGAATCATCTTTGTGGAGTCCCATCTTCTTTTTGAAGAATTTAAAGTTGCTGTTCAGCGTGGTCATGGGTCACTGCAGACTTTTTTTTTTTTGTGCCTCCTCTGTGGTTTGGAGCAATCACAGTCTGATAAATGTCTGTCTCTCGGAACCATGAGTATTCTTCCCTAGAACAGAAAATCTTCACAGCAATTTCTCCCCACCATTTGTCTTGCCAAACTTTTCCAAACTGACCTTTGCCGATGCTTTCTTGTAACACGATGGTCCTGGTAATTCTTCTCTGAACAATCAGCAATAAACCCTTTGTCCCAGGTAGCAGCATCACCACAGTCACCAACACGATGAGAAGGAGCTGGCAACGTGGAGCAGCAGCCACTGCTTCCATGGTCCCACCACTGTTTGTGGCTCAGTCCAGGCCGAAGCTTCTCCCAAGCCTCCTAGGCCAGCCTCAAACTTGGGATCCTCCTGCCTCTGACTCCTTCAGTAAATCCTACCGGCGTGCATCACCACAACCGGCGCTGAGCTGGGGCCCGCAAGGCCCTAGCCAAGCAGCTTTTTCAAGAATTCGTAACACAAACATTGGGCGCCAGTGGCTCAATTTACTATCAAAAACAATAACATCCAAGTCCACAGTACACATTAGTAAAAGCAATGCTTTTGGCATTAGTACAATATTTACCAGCAACCAATGAGAAATCTAATTATTTGATAATATGTAGAAATATAACTACTCCATAGTTTGTGGATACTTCTAAGCAATGCCATAGAAACTGCTCAGTAAATACCTGCATGAAACAGAATGAAAGTACTACTTTTGTTCATATGTTTGTTACTTTGTGTTGGATTTTGCTTGAGTCATCTCTTAATGTAATGTAATCTCTTAAGCAATACAAAGATGTTTATCACTTGGCAAGTTTTCTAAAATCATCACTTCCTTTATCTTTAGAGTTTCTGGTTGATCATAAAAGCTCTTTTGGCCATTTTTTATTCTAATTACTTGCCAGTGAAAGACAGAACAGGTGATACATGGAGAAAACAAGAAAATACTTCAAAGAATAAAAATTATACTTCTACCCCCAATTAAATCAGATCCAACATGTTTACTTCCTTCTAATTTTTTTTTTTTTTTTTTTTTTTTTTTTGGTTTTTCGAGACAGGGTTTCTCTGTGTAGCTTTGCGCCTTTCCTGGGACTCACTTGGTAGCCCAGGCTGGCCTCGAACTCACAGAGATCCGCCTGGCTCTGCCTCCCGAGTGCTGGGATTAAAGGCGTGCGCCACCACCGCCCGGCTCCCTTCTAATTTTTATGTGATTGAAATGATCCTGTGTCTATAGTTCGGCATGCCCTTTTGTTTTAAGCCATGACAAAACATTGTGTCATGTTATTTCCTGGAATATAATCATAACTTTATGTAATCATACTAGATAATAACTTTGTAATTAGGCCCTTTATAGCCATGACATTAGTGATTGCCCAATATTTCACTGGAGACTGTAAAACCCTTAACCATCCCATCATTGTTAGACAACTAGTAAATCTAACTATGCAAATAAAGTGAAAAAATGTTCATATTTAAGTTTAAAAAAAAGCATTATGGACACTTGATAGAGCCTGAGTCCCAGCTTGGTAGGACCAATGGTCTTAACACAGATGCACAGAACCTTAATGTACTTACTAATTTGAGTAAAGAAAACAAAATCTCATGGACTGCACAGGAAATTCAAAATTTATATTTATTCTTCTGTAAGTAGTCAACTTTTTAAAGTGCTCATTCATGAAATTCATGAATGGATTCAGGCTATAGATTTTGTCTGTATTTGAATCTACATTAAAAAGTATTTTTTAGCTGAAGGGTATTTTTTAAAATTATTACCATCTCCAATTTTTTCCTTACTTTTTTTTCCAAGTTGACAAAATTATGTGCATTCCTATTATGGACAGGAGAAAGTTTAAGAGAGTTACTACTCATCTTGGGATCCACACTTGGTGAGTAGTGATAGATCCTTGGTGACACTAAATGGAAAAAAAAGAGACAATTATAATATAAATATTAGCCAGGTGGTAGTGGCACATACCTTTAATCCCAGCACTCAGGAGGCAGAGCCAGGTGGATCTCTGTGAGTTTGAGGCCAGCCTGGTCTACAGAGTAAGATCCAGGACAGGCACCAAAACTACACAGAGAAACCCTGTCTCAAAAAAACAAAATATATATATAAATATTTACTCTGAAATTTATCAAAAACATTTACAAAATACAATCACTCTTTAACTATTTCTTGAAATAACAAATAATACATACCTACAGTCAATATATAAATTTGTAGGTGTGTACATGGGCACACCTACAAATGTTTATGTTTTCATAAAGTTTAAGATAAATCAAAGTTTCAAGGGTAACAAAATTCTTGATGTTAATAACAACCCACACCAAAAGCAAACATCAGAAAGTCCCACTAGGCAGAAAGAACATAGCCAGACTGTCTTGAAATTGGATGTGTAATTATCTCCTTGGAAGCCACAAAAATCAATTTGCCACAAGATGAAACCTCTTCAATGAAGCATTTTTAATTAAAGTAGATATTACAGCACCCCATCACCTTATGCAAAGAAATAGACGCAGTATTTATAGATACTTAAGAACTTGAAAAATAGATACCAGTAGTCATTAAGTTCCACACTCAAACAAAACTCCAGAGATCCAATACATTAAAGAGAGTTATTGTAAGAAGGGACTTGTGACATGTCAGTCATTTGTCAGGGCTTACACTAAGTGACTCTTCAAGAGTCATGAGAAGACAAACCAAAGGCATTTGGAGCATTCTTTTGCCAGAATTATGTCTCTGTTGTTTACCACAAATCATTCATTTAAAACCAGACCGTCAGAGTGATTACAACAGTAATCTGAGGCTTTGACTCTGTTTATACTGTTACACAAATTAAATTTTATTGCTCTGTGACAATCACCAAATCAGGAAGCAACAGATACATTATTATCTTGAATCTTTGGAAGGACAGGTGTTGCATAGTCAGAGAAATTCCCTAGTTCAGAAATTAACTTTCTACCAATAAAAGGATTCTACTTTAAAATATGTATCAAGTGCATCCCTTATCCTCAAAGGCTATAAACTCCGTGAGCCCATTGCTATTTCTCTGGGTTTTACAATGTGCCTTCCAGGATCCCTTCTGAGGATTCAAGTGTGATTAACTTTTACTGGAATTAGCTTTATTAAAACGATTCCTCATTACGAAGTTTCAACCATTGGGGTAGCTACTATGATGTAAGCTTCTGTTCTTCAACCAGAATCTGATGGTAGCTGCCTCTGTCTGCATTGTCCTTCTGTTCTCACACATCAGCCTTTTATTTCAGCTGCCATTCTGGTGTCTTACCCTACCTACCCTGTGTCACTGGTACTCCTAACGGCTCAATGACTCCTAAACAAATACGAAAGAGAAGTAACACATAGCCTAGATTGGTCTTGGGGAAGCATGCCAAGTAGGGATTTCTGGAGAGAATAACCCGAGTCATTGACTTTCAAATTTGGGACAGATGTTTCACTACATTTCTTCCAAACTTTTAACCCCCCTCTGCAGTATCCCCAATGGGTTGTCTATCTCATCTGGATAAACCAGTCCAACTCTAAAGACTTCATGATCTTCCATGACAGAGCATAGTATTAAAGTATTATTATATATGACCTCAGTTCTATAATCCTATCTCTTACCTTTGTATAACATCCAGTGAGTAGGACAGCTGGATTTACAAAAGTCTATTAGGTCGTCTACAAGACAGCACTAAAAGTCTTTGAAGATAACTATGACATTTCTGCCTCAGATTGCCTTTCTCTTTCCCAGCTAAACTCAGTCTTTAACAGGACTTCATCAACCTTTTCTGAATGCATTCTGATTTGCTTATATCTCTTTTAGAATGTGGATCCTTGAACAAAATGTTTGAGGGTCTGATCACTTATAACTGAGATGAGTCTCCCGTCTCTCTGCTGGAAAGCTTATTCTCATGATTTTGTTACTCAGTATGAAATTTTCTCTTTGGGTAGTGATATCAAATTGTTTCTTTCTGATGTTCACAGTGGATCAAGCCCTTAGTTTTTGAATCTAATACTGTTGTCAAGCTAATGTCTTCAATCTTAATATTAATCTTTGGGGACTTATATCAAAGTTTTTCTTTGCTTTTTCAGTACTAATTATTGAAAATAGGATCATAAAAACATTAAATTCCTTAAACTGAAGTGTGTCAAGACAACAATCTGAATTTTTGCCTCAAGTCTTTCCTCCATGTTAGTGATCAGAGCATAAATATCAGATTGGGTAACTTCACATTTTTGTCTTTGGTGTGTTTCCATACTTCCATGTGGATTCTAAAGTTTTAACCCATTGAAAATCTGCAAAAGTTCTTATAAAGTTGATATACTTAGCACATTTTAGTCTTTACAATGAATACTTGTTTTTTTAAATAAATTCCCAGGAATATAGGCATAAATGATTTCATTTAGAAATCTAGAGAACTATTGCCAATGTACTTTCAAAATGATAGGAAACTCAGTACCAGCTAGATTTTTGCCTAACTCTTCAAGAATGATGATGAGCACACGGCCTATACTCTCAGCATTTAAAAACCCCTACCTCCCTCAGACCAGGGAATTGGCATTACAAATGTAGAACTTAACTTCTTAATGTTAACAGGTGAAGAGCAGCTATGCTCTTTCTCTATTTTATGCCACATATCTGCTAATGTCATGCATATATGTGTTATAATTCGCCTTAAATTACCATTCCTAGGTAATTTCCTCAAATTCTCCTTTCTTCTTCTGTAGCAGGAATCTTAAAAGTTTTCATTAATAAAATCAAACCTGAGGCCAGTTATTGGGGTGAACACTGGAAGATCAGAGAGCCAGAATAAGCCACAGCTACCTCACCTCGCCGGATCCTCAGCTGGTCTTGTTTCCTCAGACTGGAGGCCTCTGAGTCCTCATCCAGAATGGGTCTCAGCTGAACTGCTGCTAGAAGCCTGAATGCTTAACCAGCCAAATGCTTAACCAGCCAAATGCCTCTAGTTTCTGGTCCTCACGCCTTATATATCTTTCTGCTTTCTGCTTCACTCCCTGGGATTAAAGGCTCGCTTTCTGGGATTAAAGGCGTGAGTCACCATGCTTGGCTGTATCCTTAAACACATGGATTTCTGCCTCTGGAAAGCTAGGATTAAAGGCATGTGCTACCACTGCCTATCCTCTATGTTTAATATTGTGGCTGTTCTGTCTCTGACCCCAGATAAGTTTATTAGGGTACACAATATTTCGGGGAACACAATACCACATTCTTCCACATAGAGTAAATAACTTCTCTGTTCCAATTGCATATGTGTAGGAGAACATGAAGAAGATGGCTCACTCACTACTTTGCTTCATGATCATTATCTACAAGCTTTTCTTTCACCTAGACTATGAGGTTTTCGGGGAAGTATGGGGGAATCTTCACTTTCCTATCATTGATACCTACAAGTGTGCCTGACATAAAGAGATTAGGAGTGTGAAGACACAGAAAAACATGCATTGATTCATGTCTATAATGATATTGCAAATGTAATGGCACCTTGTTCCTATTTGAGTTGTATTCCATCATTATCAAAGTGATTTAAAAAAAAAAAACACTTAACAGTGTGATTATAATCCCTTGGTATTTCCAGGGAACTGGTCCTAGGATTCCTCACAGATTTTGGTGCCTAACTACATAGAACAGGAAAAGACGTGAGGTAAAGACATTTAGGCAAACAGTGGTGGAGAGAGACGGAGGGTCTATGCTATGACAGGAATCCTGATACATTTTCTGTATTAAGAAAGGAACAAATATCCCTGGGGATTTTCTGTCATATGAATTCCTTTTTATCTATTAGACATTCCAAGGTTGACTTGGCTGTTCCATGGACACTGATCTTTATTCCTCCCAAGTAGTCCTGTAGGATTCAGTGGCAAGGCTAACCCTCTCTCAAGTTCAATAGTTTTTCAACATTGCTCAGAGTTAGCAAATTTTCTCAGGAGAACTATAAATAGTTCAGAAAGTAGAATTGACTGTTACTTTATTTGATTCATCAGATGTTGTCAGTCACTACATTTTGAATGAAAATAGCTTTCTGGTAAGTGTTGTCAGGAGATAGATTTTTTTTATAGTCATGAAGGTATATTTGAAATTATCTTGAGAATACAGTAGGATTTTTTTCATAATAAATAATGAAGCTGTTTATTTTAGTTTTTTATAAAGACAGATCTCTTTCCATTTATCCTAGGGTACTTCTGCCTCCATAAAACTTCTGCTACTTCCAGTTCGGTAATTCTTATAATCTTCATTGACCTGTTTAAAATCAACTTCAGGTAGAGCTGGAAGCACATTTCAGGTACATTCGACTAAGAACCCAGCGGTCTCATCACTCACAGACTTCAACTTCTACCTCAGACATCATGTGTGATAACAGAGCAAAATTGTCAGTGCTTCAGATTCAAATTCAGTCTATGATTTTAAAACTTGGAATGAAAAATCTGAAATGACTACATGTGAAAAAGAATCCCATCCTACTAGGGGTTAACTCTAGCCACAGGTAGCACAGGAGAACAAAACCTTTCCACCTCCCCTTTGAAATTCCTGGTATTTTCCTAGTGCTGTGGCCATTTCTTTGTTGAGTGTGTCCACACAACTTGAAATCAGCAAGCTATCAGGATATTTTCCTCTAGTGTTCAACAGGCAAACGGTTAGTCTAACTTACCTCAAGAGTCAGAAAACAGAATCTAATGTAGAGTTCCATTTTTAAGTTTCTGTGCCTTTCTCACTTCTGGAAGCAAAACTGAAAAAAAAAAAAGCACTTTGTAACTAGGAAATTGAATGACATCCCAACCCCTAAATACAAGAAACCGTGATGTGAGAAAGCCAGCATTGTGTCTGGTTCCTTAACGCAGTTTCTTTTTTTCAGAATCCGTCGGCAACACCATGTTGACAACTTTTCCCCAGTGTGAATGCTATCCTTCCACTTTAACATGTCAGCAAATAACATGTGCAGAGTCTATGCTCTCAGGTTAATTATCAACTTCTATTCTGTTCACACAGTGTATGAAATCTGAACTAGTTTTGTTTAAAGTCTAATCATAAAAATAAGCCTTCTGCTGGACGGTGGTGGTGCACGCCTTTAATCCCTGCACTCAGGAGGCAGAGCCAGGCAGATCTCTGTGAGTTCGAGGCCAGCCTGGTCTACAGAGCGAGGTCCAGGACAGGCACCAAAACTACACAGAGAAACCCTGTCTCGAAAAACCAAATAAATAAATAAATAAATAATAAGTCTTCAAAAATGTATAGCTATTTGTTCTGCAGTCAAACAGTAATGCTCATAAATGAGGAATTTACACTTTCCTGCACTTAGTTAAAGAGCCAGCTTCATTGTGATATTAACGACCTACATTACATGATCATTTACTTTAATGTAAGCATCAAACAAAACACTTAAACAGCAGAGTGACTAATGTATATATGGCCATTTTAAAAATGATTGATGGTTGAGTAAGAGAGATAGTGTGTGGGTTTTTGTGTGTGTGTGTGTGTGTGTGTGTGTGTGTGTGTGTGTGTGTGTGTGTTAAGGATATGGCACTGTGAAAGAGTGTTTGTATAGCAAGCATGAAATTCTGGATTTTATTTTCAGTACTGAACAAAATTATGCATATAAACAAGGAGTGAAAATAGGGGAAAATTTTTATGTTTATGCCCATATTGCAGCAATGGGGAAGTTTTGCTCCATGGCAATAGAACAAACTTGACTGCATACTAACAGAAGTCTCACATGTTTCTGATCCTGTAATCGGTGACATTTCACAGTCTTCAGAATCCTACAGTCTAGAAAGAATGACACAAAGGAGCATTATCTAATGCTCCAGCAATGTTAATGCACTTGTGATAAAATGGCTGCTTTTAGCACAGCACGCATGGAATGAGGTCGACCACTGCTCAGCAGCAGGTGTTGGGTATAAATACACATGCAGAACTGTACGTTTGGCTGCTCCCTTGTGGCTTCCCCTTCTCTGTTACTTTTCTGTATCAAGTCACTGACTTTATTGCTAACTCAAGGGCAAGTTACCTTCGATTGTCCTGTTCTTCAGATTAGAATAACTAATGTACATGGTTATTTGTTGCTGCGATGAAATCTATCCAAACACGTATTTTAAGTGGAGGGAATGTCCACTCTTAGATGAGACTGCTTTTACAGAAAAGAGCCCCATCCGTTTGGTTTTTTTGCATACAGAATTCTTTGCCTAGAATATCATCCTCTGGTTAAAGCACAACTAACAACAAACGCTTCTTGTACTCTATACTTTTGACAAGTTACTTATTCACTCCTGGGATCCGTCATCCACTCCTAAACAGGACAAGTGCTTGCTTTTATGTCTTCTAGTCCATTAGCAAAAGACACTCTCTATTTTTCAAGGTTTGAGAAATGGCATATGCCAGATAACTAAGTGGACATGTTTCTCATTTGATTCATTTCAGAGAATCATATTATCACTTTATAAGCTACACTGCCAAACTCCATGGCTAACGATTGAACTGACTCACCCCAGTGATTTAACACTGCAGAAGAATTCCAGGTAACTTCTGGTTAGCAAGCTGTGAGTGTCTGCAGGACCAGATCAGATCTGCTAGTCCCACAACATGTAGGACTAAGTCTGGGGATAGCAGGATATCAAGAGTGATTTGGAGTCTGTGGCTACGGGTACTGAATGGCCTGACCAGCTAGACCACTCTGCAGTAGAAGCTGTTTGGACACTCGTGAGAATCTTTACTGACCTATAAAAGGCAGAATTCAAGAGTTTGACCCCAGAGTAGAGGCAAGCCATTAGAGACAATCCTTTGGTCTGCCTTTTGTAGTCATGGAGAGGTGATATGCTGTCAGATCAGGTTGTAACATCACTTTCAGTTTTGATAAAACTATTCAAATCATCCTACCTGCACAAATGTTGTGTATTTCTAACCCCAGATACTAAAAAAGTCACCATACTATTTTGCTCATCAAAATGACATTTATAAATCTGTTCTTAATGAGACAGGAAAATGCTTTTTGTTCAAACAGCATGGGAAAATTAGGACAGTACATGATCACAGCCATGTTTGAATCATTAGGAAAATATATATTGAAAGGAAAGATAGCAAAATAATAACTGATTTTCTCTCAGTGGCACAATAGTTGATATTTTTCTCATTTCTGATATTCCTTCCCTCCCTCCCTTCTTTACTTCCTTCCTCCCTCTCTTCCTCCCATTCCTTTCTTGTTTTGATGCCTGTGGCTGAGCCCAAGGTTTTATATATGCTGAACTTAACATACCTTACCATCGACCTACACCTTCCTAAAGAAAAAATTACTTGATAATATGCACTTACTGTTTTGACTTTCTTATATCTCAAAATTTAAAAATAATAAGCAGTTAACAATTTTGTGATTTAAAACCTTTTATGTTTAGAGATTTATAAAAATTGCTATCTTTTTTTAAAGTTATTTCTAGATAACTCATCAAATCACTTCTTGCAGCTTAAGATCTATATTTTCACCAGGAACTAGAATTAGAAAAATAATTTTATTTGTGTGAATGTATGCTCTATAATGCAATGCTAGACATTGAAGAGCCCTGTACTAAAACTTGTACACACACACACACACATACACACACACACACACACACAAGATACCAATAAATAGGAGGAGATGAGATGCCTCCTGCTATGGTCCCAATGATTAAACTGAGGTCTAATTCCACCATAGTTCTCTCTGGGGAATCAGTGAGTTTATTAGGCTTACTTACTGGACAGTGAGTACCAGGAAGTTACTTCTTCCCAGGATTTCATGAATGAGGCAAGGAGTTCTGTCTCTAGTTTCCTCTTTCCTTCTTTCTCCAGTGACTGTGGCTTCCCTCAGGACAAGAAGATATCTAGTTCCCCCACTGAAGCCTGGAGGTTGTGCAGCAAATGGAGTGCGGTTACCCATATAAACCCACAGCCATGTGAGGGACACAGAGGCAGTGACCCTCTTAACAGCTGGACTCTAAGCCAGTGGTTCTCACCTGTGTGTTGCAACCATCGGAAAACATATTCCCAATGGTCTCAGGAACCGAGACACCACTCAGTAGCAAAATGACAGTTATGAAGTAGCAACGAAAATAATTTTTTATGGTTGGGGGTCACCACCATCTGAGAAACTATGTTAAAGAGTCACAGCACTAGGAAGGTTGAGGGCCAATGCTGTAAGCTGAGGGGCTGGAAGCTGGGAATCTTGCCGAGCAGGGTGGCCAGCAAGAAGGGGGGAGCAGAAGACAGGGCAGAGAACACTGAGGGGTGAAACAGCTTAGCCAGGCAGAATGGGGTAGGAGTGAATTCAGCTCGGTCCTCACGGGTGGGGTCATTTCATCAGCAACGTTCAGAACAGTTTGACTGCCAGTGACATTAACTATTCTGAGGGGTGGTAGTTCTTAGTGTGTTAGTCATGGGGCTTTCTCAGCCCTGAAGTCATGTACTACGGGAAGCTAGCTCTCTTTCCACCGAACACAACCGTGGCACCACAGAAGCACGCCTTCTAAGAAAACGTGCTTCACTCCTGGATTAGTAATGAGCTCACTGGTGGAGCAGTTGGAGAATGTAACTGCTTCCACTTCTTCCAGATGGAAAGAGCCTCACGCTGTCTGTCACTCTAACATTGCCCTTCCCTCGTGGTCTCTTTATTGTCACCTCAGATGCACATCACCTCCCAAACCTTTACCTTCTTCTGGCTTACTTTTTCTCCATCTCTATCCTTCTCCTCCTGAATTTTCCTTTCATTTTATCAAAACTTTAATTTACCTACTAAGCTGAAGGAGGAGACCAATCTGAATGTAGAACACTTGCCACCTTGTGCCAAAGAACAAGTCAACCCACATCTCAGATGATCACGGCTCTCCTTGTCTAGCAAGCCCGAGTGTCCTGGACCCCAATGTCTAGGGATGGCACTCAGAATCTCCTTTCCAGAAAAACCACTGGGTGAGCCTAGTCCCCAGGTATGGGAACTCCTGTTGTCAACTCTCTTCTTCCAAGGCGGCATTCATCTCCATCTTTGTCACCAGTATCCAGAATAGTGCTTGACACTAAATCAGCGATTAGCAAATGACAATCAATGAACCAACCAAATGAAGGGATGAAAAAAATCAAATAAATAATGAGGTACTCATCCACACAAAATACTAAAAGGGGGCAAAGGTCCACAGTTTTTCAGCTTATCATATTTACTGTGTTTTGTTTCAATGATTCCATTTCTTTCCATTGTACTCTTTTCACCATTTTTAGATTTCATTTTTATAGCAACCATGTGTGCATGTGTGTGTGTGTGTGTGTGTGTGAATGCATCTGTGTGGAGGCCAGAGGTTGATGTCAGACATCTTTCTTAATTGTTCTTCACCTTAATTTTTGAAACAGGGTCTCTCATTGAACCCCAATAGCCTAAGGTGGATGGCCAGAAACCCCTGGGATCTGCCCACTTCTCCCTAGTGCTAAGGAATACAGGCACATACTATCATGTTGGCTTTTATGTGGATGCTGGATATCTGAACTCATATCTTTATGCTTGTAAAGCAAGCATTTATCAACTAAGACACATCCCCAGCCCCTCATTTTCATAGTTTTTATTGCATATAATTGTACAAGGTAATGGGTTTAATGACATTCTCATTTAAATATAACATGGTCCCTGACTACAAAAAAACATCCTCTCCTATCTAATCTCCTTCCTGCTAGTCCACTTCCAAGTAGTAACCCTATTACTTGTGTGTGTGTGTGTGTGTG